CTCCTGAAATCAGTGTTGCACTATATGCTAAATAATTTGGATGTGAATGTAAAAAAAAATAATAATAAAATTAAAAATTAAAAAAAAAAGAAATCATGGCGAAGAAGGAAGTAGGAACCAAAAGGAGATGGGATCAGAGAGCAAAAGAAAAAGAACAGGGTGGGGAGAAGGACAGAAAAACAGAAATAATTGGGGAGAATGGTAGGAAATTAGAAATGGGGAAAGAAGGGGAAGAGAGATAGGAATAAGTTAAAAAAAAAAAAAGGTGAGAGAGGAGGGAGTGAACGTAGAATGAGATGGGGAAGAGGCTGGAAATACTGGGTGAGGGAAGAGGAAAGGAGCAGTAGAGAGGAAAGAGGCTGGGGGGCAGCCAAACAGAGGCTTCTTTCCCTCCTGTTTGCTATCATTTTCCAACCCTCTGGTCATTCTGTCTTCAACAACTTAGTTCCTCTTTCATAGTTTCTCTGTTTACTCTAATGCTAATTCATGCAGACTGCTTGGATGACAAATCTAACACTTTGGCCACCCAGTTCTAACCACAGGGCATGCTTTCTGCTTCAACCTTCCATTCTCATGGTCTCACCTTGTTTGGGCTCATCCTGGATTTCAACATCATCAAAAACTTACAATTTCCAATCCAAATATCAACTTGGCCAATTCCAAATATCCCACTCAGACCACCAGCATCTGTACTGCCAGTTCACTTGCTCAAGTACCCCGCTGCAGCCATTCTTCAACATCAGTGCTTCTAATGCCTTGGCCCCCTCCTCACTCTCCTCCACGTCCCCACTAGCAGCCCTAATATGCCATAATTGGCTTTCTATATGTTTTTGATTCCATATACATCATCACAAACATTCTCTTGAAAATACCATCTTGGTCCTCTCTCCCTCTGTTATACTTGCTTGGCAAAAATTCAACCCTGGATGACCTCAAGAATCTGTCTTCTCTCTGCCTGCACCTGAACAAACACCTTCAATGATTTAAAATCCATGATCTCGGGGCGCCTGGGTGGCTCAGTCAGTTGAGTGCCTGACTCTCAGTTTCTGCTCAGGTCGTGATCTCATGGTTTGTGGGTTTTGAGCCCCGTGTCAGGCTCCGCACCAACAATGCGGAGCCTGCTTGGGATGCTCTCTCTTTCTCTCTGTCTCTTTTTCAAAATAAATAAATAAACCAGGGCCTCTGGGTGGCTCAGTCTGTTAAGCATCTGACTTCAGCTCAGGTCAGGATCTCACGGCTCGTGGGTTTGAGCCCTACATCAGGCTCTGTGCTGACAGCTCAGAGCCTGGAGCCTGCTTCAGATTCTGCGTCTCCCTCTCACGCTGACCCTCCCCACTCATGCTCTGTGTGTGTGTCTCTCTCTCAAAAATAAATAAACTTAAAAAAATAATAAAATCCATGATCTCAAATACCAAGTGAGCTTTTAATATCACTCAGAAGTCATACTGATTGGTTTTCTTTAGAAAACCAACTTTTCCATTCTCAAAAAAGTGTCTATTTCATATCTTCTCTCCTCAAACATCCTACTTCAAAATCTTTACCTTCATCTAATGTTGCCTTTTCTTTACTGAGAAAATAAAATTTTCAGACAGGAACTCTTCCTACCTTCAAACTTTCCTGAAACTGTGCCCTTCTTGCAATTCCTATTGCCAATTTATGTGTTTGTTTCTTAAGATCTTCTAAGTCATCTAAGGCCCTCCATGTGCCCCTTGGAACCCATCTGATTTTTCTTCTCAAGGGGTTACCTCTCTCCCTTTCTATCAAACCATTCCCAGGAACTTAAATACAAGGTCTAGTATAGCACTGCCCAATAGAACCCTTTTTTCTTTTAAAGTTTATTTATTTTAATTTTTTTAAATGTTTATTTATTTTTGAGAGAGCCAGAGCACGAGCAGGGGAGGGGCAGAGGAAGAGGGAGACACAGAATCTGAAG